CGGAGACCAAGTATGGTTCTAATTTAAAGTACGCATCAAGCTCAGGTCCAAACGCCGCTTCAGGTCCCAAAGTCAAACGAACACTGCGGCATCACTGAGAGTTAATACTGTCTAAATTCTTTCATCTTTAATAAAATGATCAGTGTTGCTGCTTTACCAGGTGTAACAATTAAGTTTAACATCCAGGCATCCATGAAAACAGAATTTATTAAATTTAACAGAGTTAGAAGTTAGCAGGAAGTTAGCTCGCTAGTTTCCACCTAAACATGACACACCATGTTCTGACTGAGAGATTTCTGAAAAAATTCAAACATACAGCTCTGCTATCACTTCCAACATAAATGAAGACAGAAAATTAAAAAGCAGTAACTTTTGGAGGGTTACTGAAGTTGGGCTAGCTGATATATAATGATGTGGTACATGATCGCTAGTGACACAGCTATGTTAGCATAACATAAACATAGTGAAGCTGGAGGATGAACGCGAACTTTTTCCCACTTAATAAAAGTTAACGTGAGGGTTCCTGATGGTTAGGGACAAATGCAATCGCATGGCAGGATGCTCTAAACAGACCAAACATCAGTCAGGAGAACAACTGAGATAATCCATCCACAATACGGTGTCAGTCATTAGTTTACTGCAACAACATGGGAATAGAGCTGTAAGAGAATTCAACATTAATGAATCAATGGTACGGAAGTGGAGGAAGCAAGAAGAATGAGTTTAGTAAAGTCTGACTTATCTGATTGTTTTGTTTTGCTTAATGCACCTTATAATCTGGTGTGATTTATGGTCCGAAAAATACGGTATCTAAACATTGCGTACTGTTTACAGTGACAGGAAAGGAACTGAAGACCTGGCTCATGTGGTCCAGTAGCACTTTTGATCATAATCAACAATAAGTTTTTTACAATCAGCATCATTTAGGTGCCCAACATCCTGTCGCACATACCTCACAATGGCAGATGAGGCCATCATCTGGCCGGTCATTGGCCCGGCCATTGGAGTTCACTTGGACATTTTTCCACACAGATGTGAAAACAGTATGTTCAGTGGTTGCCTAACAAATTTCACCACAAGGCTTGCAGCCAATTGTTTGTATGATGGTTTAGTCGTTGGCTCTGGTTGTGTAATACAAATTACAGATCATCAGGCTGTGATTAGATCATAGAATTTAACATAACTGGTGGTGGTCAGAGGGCCCGGTGGCGCCAGTGTCCGGCAGCCTCGCCTCTGTCAGTGCGCCCCAGGGTGGCTGTGTATGCCTTCTGTGGTTTGCCATCACCAGTGTGTGAATGTGTGTGTGAATGGGTAGATGACTGGATATGTAAAGTGCTTTGGGGTCCTTAGGGACTAGTAAAAGCGCTATATAAATACAGGCCATTTACCATTTACCATAATGATGAAACATCATCTTATGTTCAGGGTCCCTGTGCCTACCCGGTCGGCTCAGTACGGCTACATATGTTTTGTATTCTTTTTTTTATTTTCCTGCTCTCTCCTTTCCCCTCTCTCCCTCCTCCCTCTGCCTGGGCGGAGCTCACCTGTGGGCTCCTGCCCTTGGCCCACGCACCTGTGGCTCATCACGAGTGATCCAGCTCCTTTATAAGATGGCAGCTCTGTGTTTCTCGTCGCTGGACCATTGCCGACCCTCGTCAGTGTAACCCCAGCTCAATTACTTCTAAAGTGTTTCCACAGCGATTTGCCTTACTATCCCTTCGTGTCTCTGTGTACAGATTCCCTGGACCTACCCCTGTGTTACCCGAGTGAGTGGAGTGTGAAGAGGAGTGGACGGAGTGTGTGTGTGTGTGTGAGAGACTATCGGCGTCTTTCCCGTTCGTGTTTGGACCCCCGGAGCCCGGCTTTCCCCTCACTTTTGTAAATAATCACCTGGTGTATCATAATAAAGACTCTTGTGCTTTCAAGAGCTAGAGCCTGCGCGTGAGTTCGTTCAGTCCCGTTGTGACAGTTGCATTAAGTGTGTGTAATCACTGCTGTTTTTCCATAACAGCCCAGTGGTTTAGCAGTTTAGTGTATTTTTATTGTGCTATAATCATTGGTGATATAATTCAATAAGAATTATATTGCCAGGAATATGCAGAGGCTCAGTCTGGAGAAATTTCTCTGGAAAAAGCTACAAGTTGAGATCAAAGCCAGCAACCTGTGTGAGAGAGACGATTGTCTCAGACCACGTTAATGGTTTCTCAATTTATGCTGCTTAAGACTGCTGTTCATTCAAAATGACTCATTCATCATATTTTGTAGCCAGTGTTGAGTGCTGACAGGCAATTATGTTACTAAAGATTATAAAATACCAACAATAAATGCTTAATTTTAGGAGGCGCTAATTAAACAATTATACTACTTTGAGTATTTCCTAATAATAGCTGACTGTCCTCTGAGGATCTTTTATGTAAAATTCAAACATATTGATCTTACAGTATTTATATTACAATACTTTACCAGGCAACATGAGACTTAGCCAACCCTCAGAGTTAGCCAGAATAAAGCATCTGGTAAGAAGTTAATGACATTCATGACAACAAATGCAAATACAGACAATATTATATATCGGAACAAGAAGTCGATCAGCACAAAATCACTCAATACAACTATACAACAATTTCAGTCAGGGCCACTATGATCATCGTAAGATTTATTTCCACATTTTGGTGCTATGGCTCTGTACTGGGCAGGGCAAAAATTATATTTTCTGTCATCTTCATGATAACAGAAATTCAACTTTACTCTTTTCCCGAAACTGTATTAAGCATCTTCTCTCAGTTGAACATCTCTGAAAGAGGTACACATAATGAACTGAGGTGCTGCACGGCCACCTTTACCCAACACATTTTTCCTTACGTCAGATTTGCATAACAAAACAAATGTCAGTTACATCATTTTCCAGTATGTGTTTACAAGTACACAAGACAACAGGACATAGATCTCTCTGCTTTTTCATTCATTGTAATGACTTTGATCATAGCTGCTTTGATCTTTTCACTGCTCATAAGGTGGCTGACTTTTGACTAGCTTAGCTTTAGCCACTTTTCCTTTGATACCTTCTTCTTACTGGGCTTCTTCAGCTGAGTGAGGGTGAAACAAGTCTCATTAGGTTTTTGTTCTGAGCGTCTTCCTGGTGGTTGCGCCACGGGTTACTTTGGCAAGCTTCCTCACTCACAGTGAAGAACTCGCTAACAACCACAGCCACAAGCTAAAAGTGTGCGTGCAACTATTTGATTGCACCACTGTGTGCATGTTGTGCACAGACTGGACTGACTGGTCAATTACCAGACTGGGCCATGCACGCTGGTAATTGCCCAATTCCAGTCTCTGTCTTGATCAGTCAGTCTTGATCAGTATATCTCTAATCTCTAGGATTTTAAACTGCTAGCAGGTTGCAGACAATAAGAGCGCCAATCTGACACTGATTACCGTATGCTAATGTAATAAAACCAGAACATCAATGACATAGTAACGTATCCAGCCCACAATCCATCACAATTCACATATTTGTAATGTACGAAGTACAAAGAGGATTGTACAAGTTCTGTTGCCACTGGTTGGCTTCACTGCACAAACTAATGAGAATTAACATCCACTACAAAGTCAAGGAGGCTAGTTATATCCAGCACAAGTAAGTCATCTTTCACTAAAATTGGAGTAAGAAGAAAAGTGAAGAGTGACAGATGCCTTGCAATAACATAAGCTTCTCTGATCTACAGTATGCTGTAAATTTGAATGACAGTAATTCTTATATCATAATGTTCAACACCATGGTATGACTCTCACTTATGAAGGTGGCTGCCTGTCTTTTCAAAGAACAACCTTGTTGTCAGCGTTTCAGCACTCCTTTTATGCGCCAGCACAAGGTTCAATAAATTCCACGAGTTCCTGAAAGTCGAGGCTATATAAAGCAAAACCACCAAAGCAACAAAACACAACAGTTCTACACCACATCGGGTTATTTCACACAAACAGTCAGAGCTTTTTTAGCATAGAATTTTCTCACTTTTGTACCAACCAGGTGACTGTGTTGATGACAGACTCAGTCATCGCATCCTTGATCACACGGCATCCCATCCAACTGTCTGTTAGGGTCTGCTGCATCTCCTAGGCAACCGGGAGCTCCTCAAAGGCAAGTGCTGTCTTGTTATTAAACATCTCGTCATCTAAGGCTTTACCTACGCTCTGTGACCTTGGACACAGTTGGGCCTACGGCCAAAGAGATGGTGTAGTTTAGCACTTCAAATCCAAAAATGATTTAGGTAAAAAAAAATCAAAGTTCAAGTAAAGCAACTACTAAGATGATATCACATATTAATATAGTTAGAGTTTATCTTGATATTGTCGCGGTTTCTTACTGACAAGCCTTCAGGAGATTTCAAGAGGATTTCTTGAGAGATCACCTTATAAAAGGTTTGGAGTGAAGAGAAATAAACAGCTGAGGGAATTTAAGATTTAATCTGCTGCTGAAGGCAAAGTTCAGAGCAAAGGCAGTAAACAAGGAAAACAGCCCATATGGCACGTAGTTTGTTCTGCAAATATTGCCTTGTTTTTATAAGAAATTGCTACTGCTTTGTATTTATAAGAATCCACCAACGGGCAAATGTCAGCACTCATAGTGGCTCTGAGGACGACGCACTGCCTGGATGTGGGTTTTTACAACAAATTGAAGAGAGAGAAGTTGAGATGTGATCTCTAACGAGTTGGTAGAAGAGTTTGAAAGTTTTTTTTGGCACCCACGTCTGTGAGAAATACACAAAAACTGTGTTAAGTGTCATCCTTATAAGTTGACCATGGCCAGAACAGTATCAGTATGTTCCCTTTCGTTTACTTCATTGTAATGTATGTTTGTTCCTGTTAAGCAAAGTGTGATCTATGTCAAAGTCGGATATTATTGTAATGAAATGAAATGACACTTGTGGTTTGTCAGCCTGTCAGCAGCTCTGCTCTACAAGAGCAGTGTTAATAGTGTAAAAATAATTATTCTTTTTTTCCGCTAAACTAGGCAACTTGTAAAAGTGATTCTCTGTTGCCTTAGTAAGCTAATAGTTTGGTGTGTTTCCTTTGACCTATCTCTCTTATTAAGCCTCTTTTTGGCTTTTCCTTGACTCGCTGACAGCATCAACTCTGTATTTGCGGCGTCGTCATCACACTAACTACAATCTCAAAAGCCCTCTGGTAGCTTTGCAGTCACACTCAGCTTACTGGCAACTTAGACAACTCCACAAAACACATTTCACCTGGTGAGAACAGACAGGCAAAGCCTCCAAAAGAACAAGGACATCCTGCACTGAACACTTTGTTAAAATGTTCACAAATTCATTGCTCGGTCTGACACGAAAGCAGGTTCTGTGGAAAATGAGTAGAGGTATCAAATTGGGCAGCACTATGCTTGAGCTCACTTGCCTTGTTTCATGTCTCCGACTAACAAGAATGAAAAGTAGACAGTAACTTCCTCACGACTAAGAAACTAAGTGGTTGCATGGTCATTAAATTAAATTATTTACTGTCACAGACACACTGCAAGTAGTTGTGGCAAACACTTTCAATCAGAAGGTGATTGCACAGCAGGAGACAACCTGTCTGCAAACAATCGTGATCTGACTCGGCCTGTCAAACTGATTGATAAAGCTTGGAAACAATCACAGTGCAAACACAAACAGATTGCCAACACGTTACAATAAATCTGAGTCACTCTGCTCTGATGACGCATGTCTTTGCACAAGGGGAGTCGACTGGTTGTATTACATTTTTATTTCCTTATAAAAGCAAGGTTGTTAAATTGCCGTCCAACAACAAATATGTCACTGAATTTCTGTTTCGAATCTACGAGGTACTGGTTGGACATTGAATGTAAGTAGTTTATATGACTTTCAGTTTAATTAGAATTAATCTGCGTGTAGATGGCAACAGATTTGCGCTGATATATCACAGCTAATGAATAAACAGATTGCATTAAACTGCCAGATTGACCCCAATCAACTCCACACTGACAACAGATTGACTCCACCTGATTGCTGTTCTATCTTGATGTGCCAAAGTTGCTTTGAAGACAATAAATTGTGAGTAGTTGCAGCCCTTGCCCTGATATTTGAACAATCATTTTAAAGAATGCAAAATCATTGCACACGGTCACGTTATTTATTACATGTCTATTCAGAAACTGATTCAGTGGAAGTATGTATCATGTTAAGAACCCCGGCGATCCTTAGAAAAACTCAAAACAGCTTTGCTAACCAAGTAAGCAATGCATTTGGCTTTTTCAGAGTTTGGAACATCATCTTGTGGGGTTAATTATATCAGCACAGGCTGACCGTACATAAAGCATTCATGATTCATGTTTCCAGTGTCTTTAGCTGTCTTTTAAACATTTCCCTATAGTCTACAGTATTTTTTTTAAAACTGTTTGTCCTGTGCTACCTAAAGTTCACTGTGCAAATCTCTATTTTTTATGTACGGCTCATTTTGTTTAGACCATAAAACTCTTTCTTAATGCTGACAAAAAATTGAGAATAGGTGAATTTTCATCACAAAAACAAACGCTTGTTTCAACACTGGTAAGTAGCACCAGAATGTGTTACTAAAGCTGAGGAGTGTTAATTTACACATGTCCAATCTGCTTCTGTTACCATTATACTACTTCATGCGCACGATGTGTTTGTTCATCGGCAGCAGCGAGAACGGTCTGACATGTCGTCAACCTTCCAGTTAAAATGGAAAATCTTCAAAGGAAAACAACGGCTCTCTGAAAATCTCCAAAGATATTAATATTGTCAAAATTAATTAATCTTCGCTTTATCTGAGCTTCTTCAGTATGTGTGGCAGTACCTGTCAAGACTGAGAACAGAAGGTGGCAATATACTTCCCAACAGGAATATTCAGCTCACTGCACAATAAATTACTGAGGCAGAATCTTTCATGTGTTTATCCCATTTGTCTGATTCACTTTTTCAGTCATGTGTGACATTTCTTCAGTGCCAGGATTCTCTTTTGTGAACAGTAATATATGCTCTCTACAGCAAATAAACTGCTGTAAAGGTTAAGCATCCATTCACGAGACTCCACAGGGAGGGAGAGCTGATCCAAAACAATGGGAAACCACGGACGAGTAAACCTTTTCCAAAATGGGGCAGCTCATATATAATGTCTCAAACAGAAGGTCAAACTTTTCTTCTGGATGAAGAGCCTTTGAGAGCAATATCATCAGGGGTTCTTGGTTGTTTGGGAGACCATTTGTCTCCCATGAAAGTAAATAAATATCATGATATTTGGAGGCCCAGGGTACCATTTTTCTTTATGTCATACCTGTAAAAGTAATGGAAAAAGGTATCTACACTGACCTTATTGGTTAATTGCGATATTTAACATTAACGCAGCAAATAATCAAAGACACTGGAGAAAGGTTGACTGCATGAGCTGATGTCCCACTCTCCATCACTTTGTTTCCTCCTAAGTATGTCCTTTGTAATTGCAAGGGAGTGACAAAACTTTAGTATTTAGTAGCATTTACCAAACTGTACTAACTGTAAAACTGCATTAAAAAGACCAAATATTCATACATCTTTTTCCAGAGTTTGTGCCTATCTGCTGTGCCTGGAACCATTTAATCCATAAATTGTTAATAAGAATGAACTCATCTGGTTTTGAGATACAATCCAACAACATGAGAAGTAAAGTGAAAACACTTCATGTTGTGGTGGCGAGAGGAAAAATGACAGCGCATTTCTTCATATTTGGCAAGGAAAATAGGAAATGGATTTATTAAACATGTGCAAACATAAAGAGAATACAGTATATGAGGAATAAGGCAAGCTTTCTTGAAATTTCTTCAAGTAGTCTTCAGGAACAGTTCTCCAGGTTTTGTGGAGTACTTACAAAGTTCCCCTCTGGACATTGGCTGTCTTTATTACATGCTCTGTCAAGATGATCCCACACTGCTTCGTTAATGTTGAGGCCCGGGCTCTGGGGAGGCCAATCCATGACTGATAGTGCTCAATTGTGTGTTTTTCTATTCAAGTATGCTTTTACTGCATTAAGAGTGTATTTGGCATCATTAAGCCAGAGATAATCAGATGCTTTCCATATGGATCTAATTCTGACAGTACTTTTCTGCATTCACAATTACATCAATTGTAACAAGATCCTCTTTAAAAATTGTGCCTTGGCAGCCAAACTTTCATTGAGACCATTTCTGATAAGGCTTTCATGAACAGTAGTCGATCAACTGAAGGGGCGGGTGAATTTCAGGTCCTGGTCTTGTTTCTTAAGGATTCAATTTTCTGGTATCTGAACACGCTGTAGATAGTTTTTTAGGTATGAGATATGCCAAGTCTTTGACTAACAGCTTTTTGGGAATCAGCTCATTGGTGGAAAAATCCTATTTCATACCTGTCAAACTGAGTTATCTTTGGCATGTTGCTGTGTAGACACAACACTGGTTCATTGCTTGAGTCAGGTGTTTTTTTAATTATTCATAGGTCAGTATTAAGTAACTTAAAGAAAAAAGCCAATGATCTGAAAATGGGCAGGTGTAATGGTAGGAAGACCTTCAGAAATCCTGGAGAACTCTGCTAAAGGACACTTTAAAAAATTAGAAGTCTAGCTCCCTGGAAGCACAATATAAAGAAATGTGACTCAACCTGCAATCGTCATATTGCCATTTAAAATGATTTAGCACCCAGTGAATGATGACAGGTAAATCCAGCTAAATGTTACATAGTATTGAATCCTAGAAAGCTTGCCACAATTACAATAGAAAATACCATAGAAATGAGTGGGACACTGTGCAAGTGTGGGACTGCTAAAGAATGATTTACTTGGGAGCTCTAAGAAGTAAACAAATAAAGCTTTGAATCCATATCCTGATTACCCAGTGATGCGTGGAGAATCTCATATGTAAAACCCACCCAGCAATGTGTCTGCTTGTGCTGCACTGGCAGGATTTCCTTTCAAATTTGATGTAGTTATTTTCTGGAAAATGCAAAGTGTGTGAACAACAAGAAAAAATGTAACACTCCTAAGAAACTAAATGTAACTGGATGGAGAATAACATTTTCATCTGCCTCCATAATCCTTATGTAACACATATACTGTCAGTTAGACCAAACAAAGTACTTGAGACATACTATAGCCTGTAGGTAAGTACAGGTAGAAGTGAAGACGCTAGGGTGTCGCAAGCACTTCTCTTACAAACAAATTAAATCAAGACGGACAAATCTGTGTGGCTATGGTTGCCTTATCAATAATAATGGCATACAGAAGTAAAGCTAACAGGAGAATGGTATAGCCAGTAACTGCAGGAGCCGAAATATGAAGCAGAGGCCACCTAAGCAAACTGACATTCGCTAATGTCAACAAACATCTACGCTCAGACCAAACATGTAGCAGTAAAGCTAACAGGTGTAGTATCACTTACTTTTTACAGACTCACCTGCTGCCATTCTTTAGAAAATGCAAACATCAGAATCAACACTAAATACTATTCAGCAGGCCACTTGATTTATTATTCACCGTGCATGACTATCACATTGAAATTAATGTCACCAGAAAACATGCCTCTAGTGCATTGTAATGTTCTGTATGCAGCCTGTTGTTCTTCTAAAGAGCAGTTTCTAACTTGGAATGAATAAATCCCTCTCTTTAGCAATGCACGTTTTTGACACAGCTCAGCTCTCAGTGGTAACAAGAGCTTTCTGCAGCTGCTCCTCAACAAAGAGCATCACCACGACACCGGCTGCCATCGTGGATGTTCCATCATGGCTTCAAAATACCAGCTGTTGCCACTCCAGTTAAGCAGTTTTTCTTGCTTTTGCCACTATTTAATGTGCTGCAATCTAGGATGGATAAATTGAACTGAAAATAAGGTGAAGATTTTCTTCTATCCGCCCTCCTTTGTGGCTGACAAAGGAGCTTTAAAAAGCTTTTTTTGTGCAGGCTCCGTGTGTTCGGCTGTCTGACAGTGTTAGTCTGTCATGGGGATTACTGTCAAGTGTTCCTCCTGAAAACCTGAGAGTGTAAATAAGAGAAAAGAAAACCCTTCAAGAGGCCTGCGACTGTGAAAAATCCTATAAGATGTTACAGACCTACCCTAACCTGATGGTCATAGGTTACAATCAGTGTGAGCATGCTAAAGATCAACTGCTGCTGTGCTTATGGGAGGGCAATTATTGTTAAGGTCATAAAAAAGACTGAAATTTTATTGACGTGAAATATTCTCAATATTGCTATCACTGGTTGGCAATAAATCAAGAAGACAGCGAGAGATGTTTACTGACCCCCTCCTAGAACTAAGAGACAGTCTGCATGTACGTGTTAATTAATTTCTTTCTTGCAAAAAAGCTCAGCCATCTTTGTAATTCTCTCAGCAGCTGGGTCAGGACAAGGTATTCACATAACAGAGTGCATGTTATTTGTAGTTTTGCGCTCTTCAGCTTCATACTTTCTTTCTGTGTATAAAAGAGATTTCCTTATGCCAAACAAGAATTAAATAACATCTGATCAACAGCCCCTCAACCAGCCTTCTTTTTTAACAGCTTGTGATTTAGGCCATTTATGTGGGTGTATTTCAACACACAAGTCTTCCAATGCAGCTTTAATTCTGTTTGCAATAAATGAAAACACAAATTATTACTTTAATCAAACAATAAAAATCTCCCAAGGCAAAGAGTTTGATTGCTGGCTACGCAAAGCAAATATCCCAGACCTCCTACAACACAGACGCTTGTGGAGGAGACATTAAGTTGGATTAGGAAAACCAATTAATAATTGCAATAAGTCTTCAGCTTCATATTGCTTCTGTACAATAGCCAGACAATAACCCGAAATGAACAGATTGCAAACCATTTTGACAATGTTTTACTTTTTTTTAAAAAAACCTTTCCATGTTTTACTTCTAATGACATAACTCTGAAACTTTTGTTTCTTCATATTTTCTATTACATATCTGATTTTTACAGGGCAAAAAGAAAACCGAGCACACCAGACGTGAGCTGGAGGCTACTCATTGTCTGCTCCACGGTCTCTTTAGTTTCTGACAATTAAACGGATGCATCACTGTTAATTTGGCAATAGCACAAAAGTGATTAACATAACATTATGAGTGGCAGGGGGACTACTGTCTGCAGCCAGAAGCCCAGACCTTCCAGCTTAAAACAGGAAGAAGAAAATGATCCAGTTCTGCTTTGTATGACTAATCAGCACAGTGATTCCCCTTGACTCAACACACCAACAGATCTGCATCGCTGTGATGAATCACAGTCATTATGCTTACCGCCTCCTGTTTTGCTCCTAGAACTGATCTGTAGTCCATGCTTCTCATATTACCGGTCAAACTAAAACAATTACAGATATTACAGATGTATTATTTAGACAGATTATTTCTGTGTGAAGTGGCAAAGAGTGAAAGAGGAAGGTTACAGCAGCTAACAGGAAAGCAGAAGGCAAAGTGGCAAGTGTCTCCAAAATAACTTCATTTAAATATACAGCTGCTACAGCTCACAGTAACACATGTCGCTGTCACAGAACCCAATACAGATAGTCTCGATTTTTTTATAACATCTTTTGTATAGTTTTCTCTCTGTGTGAGGGCTGCAAAATCATTGTTTATTTATATGTATTTAATTTTCAATTCAGAACACCACTCAGGTTCAGATCCCCTCTGCGAATCGTGGTGAAGAGAGAGCTGAGCGTAAAAGCAGTCGATCTACATCCCTACTCTCACCTATGGGTTCACGCATATGTTACGTTGCGGGTCTTACTGGTTGCGGGTCTTACTGGTGGTTTTATACACAGTCTGTCCCCCTGCAGGTCATTTTGAGGACCTGGGAAATTGTCAACCAACGGCAGCTCAGGGTTAGTTGACCTCTTACACTGATTACAGGGCGCTACTGAGCAATTGTGCTCCAAGTTTAGCCTTTTACTAGGCCTGGCAACCTTGTTGGTTTGAGAACCACGACTGACTTTTCTCAAAGCAGGCCCTTTTTGCGTTGAGTGGGCTTTCTGTTTGAGTGCCAGTTTGACACAATTGGCAACCACATGGCCAGGCTTGTGACAGAAGAAACACAGTTTGGGCCTAGATCTTAAAACCATAACTGCATTTGCCTTGTTAGCTGGCCCACTCTTACCTGTCCAGGATGGATATCATGTCCTACAGCACTTGCTTTATGAGTCAGCTTAAACTCATCTGCCAGGGTGGCAGCTTGCTGTAAAGTTAAAGCCCTCTGTTCACTTAAATAACAAGCAATAGACTCAGGAACAGAGTTTTTAAAGTCCTCCACCAGCATAAGCTCACGTATGGACCCCACATCGTTAACCTGGCTTGCAGAACACCACCTATCAAAGAGCTTTGCCTTCTCCCTAGCGAAGTCAAGATAGGACTGATCCTGTGCCAACTCCAAACCTCGAGTAGCTAAAATGAGCTTCCTCCAAAGGGTGGCTGGCCTCTCCCTTATAGATAGGGTGAGGAGTTTGGCCATCAGGGAGGGGCTCAGAGTAGAGCCACTGCTCCTCCACATCGAAAGGAACCAGTGGAGGTGGTTCGGGCATCTGACTATGATGCCTCCTCGGTGAGGTGTTCCGGCCATGTCCCATCAGGAGGAGGCCCAGGGTCAGACCCAGGGAACACAAGAGAGATAATATCTCTTGGCTGGCCTGGGAACACTTTAGTGTTTCCACGTACAAGCTGGTGGGGGCAGTGATTACTATGTGGCAACATGGCCACATAGTAGGGTGACGAATCGAACCGTCAACTTCAGATTGTTTTAGTGGGGAACAGTCTGTAAAAACAAGGCTAGACTTTGCATAGGGATAAAATAATTTCCCAATCAAATGGTTTATGTGATTTCCTTCTTAATTTTTTCAAATTGCGTGATATCCAAAGCCACAGCATCCAAAATAAAGCCATCCCAATACAGCATTAGGAACTCGAGAAAAAAACTCAGCTGATCTCAAGTGAAGCGAAGGTCAAATGGCATGACTTGTTTTGAAAGAAGTTCCTTATTAATTAAATGGTGGCATCATCGTCTCAGTCCCATCCAATAATTCTTGGGAGAGGAATGTTGCAAGTCATAACGGACCACATTATTTTGGAAGCTGTTACCATCATTTCTAATCTCTCTGTATGAGAGAGTTATTAGCCTGAGCTATTAAACTGGCATAACAGATTGGCTCCTAAATGTAAAAACAAAAAAAGTTGCATGGTCATGCAGTGACATAACAGCATGTTTAGAAACTGTTGGCACAGGTGTGTGCGCCATCTGACAGTTTCTTTTTTTTTTTGATAGCATAAAAGATGAAAACGACAACGGAGACATGCAATTTTCCTTCTACTCTACCACTGCCAAGGGTGGTAAAATAAATTAAACAGGACGTGCTTCAGCTTGAGGTCAGTACAAAGACAAAGATACAAGTCTGTGCTCGAGAGGATGGTTCGGTAATTCATTGAGGTTTATCAAGTGCTCCTGCATTCATTTCTCTGACCTGCTGTACCACGACTGAATCAGCGGGCACTGTATGCACACAGACGAGCGTCGCTTTACTCATCTCAAGAGCTCAATCGCTGAGCTATCGCTGCTCTCCTGCCAGATGGATCAGAAACCCTATTTTCTACTGTGATTGCCAGCTACTTAGAAATGCTTGGTCACCTCACAACCCACACTACTGCAGATAAAGGGAAAAACAGCCTTTAGGTTTTCTTAGTAATTACAATCAACATCGATGAGAAAGGAACTTCCATTTGTTGCCATGTCATTTAAGGACTCAAATAATATTTCTAAATATTTATAGTCCTTGGTGTTATGCTTCTAATGTGAAATCAGCAAACAAACAGTATGTGTGTTGTATCCTTCTTGCTGTGAGGTCACAGAGCTCGCTGACTTTAAGATTTCACCACCTGATTGTGTTTTGCGGATCCGTCTTCTGTCACTGGAGAATTAATAAAAGAGATTCTTCACATTACAGATAGCATCTGTTGACTCATTTAATTTTTCACTTTCTGTTTGTCTGGCAATTATAATTAATTGTTGCAGGCTGACTGGGAAGCAAGCCACCGTGGGTAAGTCGCTATTTCAAGATAGAGCCTTCAATAAAAGCGCTATTTCAATGTTATGCTGCATCACAAATATGCCACAGTGACAGGGCTCTTTATGTTTTGGCAGGAAGAGGACAAGGGATAAAATGTGTAAATGTCACGCCTGACACTCATTTCTATTCCCTGTCTAAAATTTCAGGCCATTATGTGGTTGTTTTATTGTGAAGTTTTGTCTATGTATTGCACCATGGTTAGTCTTTGATGACCATTAATGGAAAGGACACACAAATTATTATGAATGGTTTACAAAGAATGTCTGATCAAATGGCAGTAAATTACAAATTCAGGTGAGATTTTTAAAAACGGGACCATGAGTAAAGAAGAGGATTAGGGAAAATGAAAAATGATTTCGACTCCTTTCTCGGAAATGAGCATTAAGGCCACTGAAAATTTTGGGGTTGTCGTGAAGATAAAACAAAAAAAAATCTGAATTCTCAAAGTTAGAACTCTGACTTTAAAAGTCAGGAAAACTTTAAATGGCTCTAATCCTTTTCTGTACCCAATTGTAGGTTGAGGGAGAAGGTGATGAATTCATCTGTATGTTTGATTAATTTTTACTTTATAATAAACAAACTCTGTTAGTGGAAAATAAGGGCTTCGTGGAAAATGTTATCTTTTCTCTGTGTAACTTAATAAAAGCTTCCTTGCCTCCTTTCCTTTGCATTTATTAATTTCCCTAATCAAATAAAATGTAACCACCCTAATTGTCTGTATAAGCGCGCACGCTTCAGTGAATCAATCTGTTGACAATGTATGAGTCATATTTACCCACAGTTTTACAAAGGATAGCCTCAAGGTAATTTATTTTTCGACACTTGAAATGAAAACTACGAATATTAATTTTCTTTTTCAGGAAATTATGACAGTGATTAACTTATCTTTGAAAGCATTAGAGCACCATTAAACATTACATCCTGAGTAAAATTAACAAACAAGTTCATCAAGAGGGCAGCAACAGCGGTTTCCGAGAAACACCTGACCCGTTTCTGAAACAGACGACACGACTCACTGGGAAACGGGAAAGCACTGTCATCTCTGCGTGTGTCCGGACACCAGCTGTAAGCAAATGCACCATAAGCAAGAAGGCAGCAATCGTTTGTTAAATGGATGTGCCTTTACATCACAGCTATAAATCTGAGTTTAGGACAAACAGTTCTGCCAGAGTCAAATCTACATGAGATGAAGAAATGAAGGTTTGCACTGTGTTTCCCATGAAATCAGAGAAAGTTTAAGGATCCAAATCGACATGTTTGATCTCCCAGAGTAAAACGATGAGCTTGCTATGCTGGCCCGAACTACCACACCCTTTGATATGAGTGTTAGATTACTGGAAAGTGAACAGACATCCTGATATGTAATTAGATTTAGTTAGCTGCTAAGTTTAATTATGCCTTGACTTGAGTCTACCCATTGTCCTAACGGCCCGACTGTGATAGCAAGACAACAAGATGGCAAAAAGTCAGTGCACAGTCTGCAATGTTCATTTTTTTTAATGTTTATGCACAAATAAACAAAGCACAATGCGCTAATTGTTCAGCTTTAAGTCGACGGTGGGCACAATTTTTTAAAACATCTCTGCAGTCTGATTATGTTCTGGCTCCATTTCTGACAGATACTAACTGTGCCTGTGGAAGAGAACATGACTGAGCATTTTTCATCTAAACCTTGTAGGGAGATGGTAAAATGGATGTTTCTGTGTCTGCTCTCAAACTAAACACACCATCATGATGTCAGTTTTGAAGATCTACGGTTTATGACATAAGAAGCCATGCATGGTCAAAAAGACTGAGGTCAAAGAATGAATATATAAATATAATGTGGCTAAAAGCATATTAATGCAGCCAAGCAAATAAATGAATAAAATAAAAGCTGATAATCAGGAATCAAGATACGTAAACATTTGAAAAGCACAGATGGGATCGCAAACCTCAGAAGCAGTGTCCACTGTTTGTCTTCATAATCAGAGACAACTTTGAAATGTCAGAAAATGTGCCAGATTTTCTGTGAGCTGCAGGTTGTTGTGCTGGTAAAACAATTAAATGTGAGGCTCTTTCATAAGAGACAAAGCAAGAGGAGGGGCCTTTGCCTTGCTTTATTCTAGCTAGCATAAATTAAATCCATTATACCTTCTGAGTCTTTTTAAAGAAACTTAATAAGCAATGCAGGCGCGGAGGTACACCTCCACCTCTTAGGGCATTTTAATTCATCAGTGTCCTTTCAAATACATTTTTAATGTCTGTCTTCTGTGCAGTGGATTAATGCATTAGATATATGACAAGGTAGACAACGCACTGTACTTTGACATGGATCCAACAATGAACGAATGAATGTCACAAACGATGACTAGGTACATTAGGAAAAAACATTTGCTAACAATATTTGCCTGAATTTGTTAGCTCATTTTGTTTTGGGTGGATCCAAGAGCCAAAACTGGTACATATGCTTCATCTTTTGATAAAGCCTATTAGCAATTTTCAAGATGGCTGCCAAATATATATATATATGTATATATATATAATCCTTCTTGCTGTGAGGTCACAGAGCTCGCTGACTCTAAGATTGCACCACCTGATTGTGTTTTGCGGATTCGTCTTCTGTCACTGGAGAATTAA